TATTTTTAATTCTATCTACGGGGGAATTCATAGCATCAGCGATACTATACAACTACGTAGTGGATTGGCGACAGCGATTCATCAACACGGCGAAACATTATCACAACATTCTCGTGAATATGCAGATTTGAGATTGATGGTTAGGCAGATGACACCTTCACTTGAAATCTTATCATCCAAGTGTTCTCGTAGCCTAATTATTTAGATTCCTCTCCGTTTCTTTCTTTCCAAATGTTCGTAAGAAACAGGAGTCAATTTAAAAGCAAAGAGCTATAAAATGCCTCATAAAAGGAGAACTTAAGATATTTCACCATGCATCTCAAAAAATAATTAACTGTTGGGCATCAGTATATTATACAAATTTTATTTCCATCGCTTTATTTAGGGTGCTTGTCGATCACGGCATGTACAGCATTGACAAGTCTTTGTGCTTTTAACATGAACGACACTCGTCACATAGCCCGTATCTCGGGGCAAGATAATTTTTGCACAGAAGCACTATTCTCTGCATGAAAGTTTTGTTCTTTGCTCTAGACTACGGTACCTATAGTGTGTTGGAGGCATTTTATGTTTGTAGTCATAAAAACATTTTGTTTTCCAACCTGTTTATAATAATGATAATAAAATGATTTTTAGTTGGTTGAAAATAGTTGCTGTTGAGATGTTAAAACTTCAAAAGCTACAGCAAGATAATAATAATAATAATTATAGCAATGATGATGATTTTCATGCTAATACTCGTATTTTTCGGCACGGACAAATATCAACTGTTTATTTCCTAGGGTGAAAGTTACTTCGCCAAAGCCTCCAGTTAAGTTGCCCCATAAGAAGAAGAGGTATTTAACATTGAACTCGTAACAACAGAAAGTAAGAAATGCCAATAAAAATGAAACACATGTTGTCTTAATTGGCTAATAAAGACATGATAAAATCTTTTAGACTCCTCAAAAAAGATTAAAGTATAAAGTTGAATTGCTTATTTTCAAGGATAAAGTTTGTTTTCAACCTTCAGTGAAACATATCAAAACAATTTTGATTTTCCTGATTAATTGACTTCGACATGAAATTTAAATCTATCAAAATAATGTAGGAAATGTATTGTTTATAATAAATGAAGAGTAAATAAGATTTGTATAGCGCTCATATTCATTTTTTTTTTTAAATACTCAATGCACTTTGGAAAATAAACATTGGAAAAAGAAAATTTGAAAATATAAATTGCCCTACAAACTAACCAGAAGCAGAGAAACAAGCATTACCGCTCTGTTAACCAGCACTTTGAAGCCCCAGTGAAGGCATTCAAAAGCAATTTATTTTAATTTTTAATTGAAAACTAATACAGATTTATAGGAGTGATGTTTTGCCCGATCTGATGTGTTATTGTACTGAATACTCATACATTCCCATATACTTGAGAGAAAAAAAAAATTGTGTTAAGGTATTTGGAGGGGAATCGAACCCACGACCTCCGGATATAACTAGCCTGGTGTCATTGTCATAATCACTAGACCATCGAGCTTGCGCTTAGTTTCTAGTGATGAATCTGATTCCTATGTGGCAGAGGGTACTGCAATTCTATATCTATGTTGTTTGCATCAGGAAATCTCATAGGAGTGATGTTTTGCCCTACCTTGAAATGTTGCCATGTAGAATACTCATTACATTCCCAAATACTTATGAAGAGAATCTAGAGGTGACGGAACTAGGGGGTGCTGTGTTATGGAGAGTAATATGTGACCAGAAATGGTCTGCAGTCAGTTGGTTGTTACCATGTGCCAGTGATGTTGGAGTATATAGTACAGCAATATGAAACTATTATGTAGGCCTAATGAATGAATAAAGTTCGGAGTTCGTCGGGTAGTGAAATGATTATTTCACATTTTATTGTGAAGAGAATCTAGCGATGTAAATATTGATCTATATTTTAGCTTAACACATATAGATATCTTTAAGTAGCTATTAAACTTGAATACTGATAGATGTTTTTTACTGGCAAAATAACGAATAAGATTAGTTACGTCATACACAATTCCCATGTACCCCATCCACCTACAGTGAAATCGCCATCTCACCTATATCAGTCAAGACAATATGGACTAATATTGATAGACGATGATTTACTGAACACCAGTATGGCTACAGGGGAGAATTACCTTTTACCTTTTGTCTATGCATTGTGTTTGCTTTGTCTTACTGGATTTTTTTTTTCACATTAGCTAATAGGAACTGTAGCTTATCATTTAAATGTGACAGGTTGTCATAGTAAGGGTATTATATTTGTTTGTTCGATGTTTTGACCAAGCCTTCTACAGAAGATAGAACTGTATGAACAGCTGTAGGTTAGTGGTTAAAGTACCGTACTTGTTTCCTAATAAAAAACCTTTGACTTTTCATTACTAAACACAACACCACCTCTAAAGCGTCAAAAGAAGCAGTTAGTATAGTTGTATTCCATTAACTAGAAGAAAATTAATACAGCTTGAAAGTTTAGGTACTTGCTTTACAAAACCAAAGTAGCTGGTATCCTCGGGCAAAGACACTTTATCTGTGTGTCTCTCTCCACCTAGATACCTGTTGGGATCTAAGTGCAGATTTAAGAGCTCCTTAAGGAATGGTGCTGCTTAGAAATCTGAGGATGTGTTCCATAAGCTTATTGCAATATTCTTTATAATGTAAATGTAGCATTATTATTATTGTTATTATTATTATTATTGTTGTTATTGTTATTGTTATTGTTATTTATTATTATTATTATTATTGTTATTGTTGTTATTATTATTATTATTATTATTATAGTAATAATAATAATAGTATTTCATTTTACCTATATTTTTGTGGTGCCTTTCCTTTTGGATACATAGTTCTTTTTCCTGATCATTGGATTCAGAATCAGTTTGCTCCCTGATGAGTAAGCGTAGTTAAGGTACGCTGGTAATCAGCAGTACCAATTATGTTCCAAATCATTTGCCTCCTATCAAGTACCTATTTATCCTCCTGGGTGAAGAAAAGCATATGTAGATAAAGTGTCTTGCTCAAGGACACAAGCTATGTGGTCATCGTTAGTCTCGAACCCACAACCAGTTGAAAGCATATGCCTTATATATATAGCATAGGTATTTACTAATTGAAATATACATATTATATATATATTTTATATATTAGTGACTTCACATGATATAACTTCATTTTTATGATACCTAAATCATAATTGTACCATAAAGTTCAACTTATCTATTAACTGTAAGATATCCATATTATTTGAGGATTCATTTGTATATTCAGTTGTATTTTATCTTATTTTAATTTGTATTTTTTTGCTTTTGGTGTGGCTTCTATATTTTGCAATACTGAATTTCAGATTAGAAGAGGAATAAATAGTTTTTCATTATATACATATATTGTCCTATAATTTTACCTTATATACATATGTTATTTCAATGAAGAAAAAAGAATTTAATATAATACTGTATATGGTTTGTTCTAAGCACTTATCTTACATTTCTTTTCTTTTTTTGAAAATCATAAAATCATGAATTAAAGATTGCATTTTAATCATCAATTGATGTAAATGATTTGAGAATATCTGCAACTTCCATTGTCAATGTTTTTATGCTGGAAATAGTTTTGTGTGCATCTACTGATATTAATATCATTTCAGCAATTGGAGTGATGGATCAAAATGAGTTAATATATTCTTTGGTCTTCTTTAATTCTAGGTCAAATCAATAAAGTAAATGGAATAAAAGTCTTGTTTTATGTCATGGAGGAAATCGTTTTATGTTCTTGTATTGAACGAAAGTGTACAGGCAGCATGCACTTTACACATTAAGCTCTGTCCAAACTATCAAAAAACTGTTGTATGCCCATATATAGTCATGATATGCCAATATATAGTCATGGTGTGCCTATATATAGTCATGGTGTGCCTATATATAGTCATGATGTGCCTATATATGGTCATGATGTGATGTCATCATGACCATATTTAGGCATGTCACTTGTTTTTTTTTTCAAATTAAATTTGATGGTGTGGACAGAGCTTTAAGCCCTGTCTAGACTTCTTTGACAAAAAAACTTGTATATGCCTATATATGGTCATGATCTTTTGTCAAATACTATACTCTATCGGTGATCTTTCTACTAGCCTATTTGCATACAATATAATTAAAAGTAATATAATTCATCAAGTTCTTTGAAGTTGTATACTGTTTTGTAATTTGTGTATATTCATTTTTTATTTAATTTTTGTGTAAAACTAGTGGAAACTTTATTCTCTAGGTTGGATAGTATTAAAATGAACTATAGATACTGATCTTAAATTTAATTATATTATTATTAGTATTGGTATTTCGAAATATGTTTTTATGCAATGTAATTTTGAGACATGTTCGAATGTATATTTTATGATTTAATTTTATCTGTTTATTTCATGTATATTTGATGAGGATCCCTTAACATTAGTTACCAATTTATTATGAGCTGAACATATTATCCTCATTAGAGTTTTAATACCATAATTATTAGAATAAACGCCACCTCCCCTCCCCACCTTCCCTTGAATAAACACCCCTCCAGAGCCCCAGTTGGAATAAGCACCTCCATTGAATAAAACCCCCCCCCCCCCCCCCTCCCCCCCCCCCCAAACCAAACTAATTTAAGCATCATTCTCAACACATTCTATTAATATTCTACTCCAGTAGAATTACATTTTTTCTAACCTAGTTAGGATGAATAGTCTTTATGAGCATGCCATAACACATTTTGATGGTAAGTTTGTGTTGTAATTCCACATTTACAATGAAATTAAGGGCTGTTTATTCGAGTATATACATATCCATTTTACTTTAACAAAATAAACGGCTTCTTCGAATAAATGCCTCCTCAAAACCCCAGGGCGTTTATTCAAATAAATACGGTAATTCTATTAGATGACATAATGTTTCAAATTATAAATTTGAGATTTAAATAAATTATTAATAAAAAGTTCTTATTTTGCTCTGCAGAATTTCCTTAACAAATTTAGTCATCTGAGCACATTACAACACCTTTACAGTTATGCAGAAAAGGACAGAGGAGCTGTAAGTAATTGAAGTCTTTTCGATTTTATTTACACATTTTACTGTGGTTTTTGTGAGTTAATATGATTGTTGGAGGACCTTGAAAATCAACAATGCAGAGGGGACACCCTGGTTAAATGTTAATAAAGAAAGTATTGAATTAATAATTAATTAATTAATATTATTTTATCGTTTTAGATACATATCTTCTCCATGCAATGTAGTGCTTGTTTCTCTTCTATGCTTTCAACCATTGCTATATTATTACCACTTTCCGACTACAGTTCACCCTCCAATGCGAGACGACTTTGGGACCTGAAAATTTGGGGTGGTCTCCAATTAGAGGGTTAGCTTTGTGTTTAAAAATTGAAGATTGTTATTTGGTTCTTTAAAAAAGTGATCTTGAATTAGAGGGGTCTCAGAATTTGAGAGGTCTTGAATTGGAGGGTGAACTATATTTGATTTGTCTGAAAAAGTAGGCTTGAATTACAGGAGTCTTGAATAAAGGGTCTTGGATTTGAGGGTGTATGTTCACTATGTTCTTGCCATTTGCCACCAAATTCATCCACATTTTCTGTATTCCACCCAACTGTCACTAATATCCAGTTGTGTATGTTTGCATGTGTGGTTGGCATGGTAACATTTTGCGTGATCGCTAGTGAAAATTGACATGAATGCTATGGGCAACTAGTCTAGTCAAGTCGTAGCAAGGTTGTATACAATTTTTCTCTTAACTAAATATATGACACTTTTTTTGGTAGCTACTACCGGGTATGAAAGTGAGGTGTGCATCCTTTATCGCTATCCCCTGTTCTGCCACTTCAAAATCCTCTACTCTGGCGTAAAACAATATAGTATAATTAATAATGTACCGTCATAGTAAACTATAGTCATCTGACAATAAATGAATGAAACATTTAGACTTCTTAAATACTTACCTGGATAAACCGACTAATTACCATTCTTTCTTTAAGAACACATCTACGACAAAAATAAAATCGTCTAATTGTCCCAGCACACCTAACTGTCATTATCGGTCAGTGAGCGACGACCACACCTACGTGTTGGATAGAAGCTTGGATTATATCTTTACAAAGCGAAGATAATCAGCATTTGGGAATTCTATGTTAGGGTTCAATTCCAACAAAAGCTAATTAAAAGAACTGGAATGCCAGTAGAAATACACTAATAAATTTTCAGTCGTGATGTAATTGCTAGGCATTGTACTGGTTCTCTATGCACTATATGTAAATGTAATTTTCTAAGATTCTCAATTTTAAAAAAAATTTGATTATATTGTATTTATTGAGGGCGATTCATCAGCAAAGCTCTGATGATTTAGGACTCTTGATGCTCTTTAAATGTGGAGTAATGCTTAATCAAGTCTCTTTATGAGGCTTAAGTAATGGAGAGGTGATAATTTGGGATTCTCAATACCTGTATAACCAAGTCCCTTTATGGGACTTGGGGAAGGATGAGCTGGTCCTGTGAGACACTCAGTACACTATAGCCATGTCTCTTCTGGATTCTTGGTGAGTAGGGAGGTGCTCATGTGAAACTCTTGGTGCTATTATTAACACGTTTTTTATGAAGGGTGGGCAGTGCAGGGTTAATCATGTGAGACACTCAATACTCTAAAAAACCAACTAAGTCTCTTTATGAGGCTTGGGGCAACAAGCCGATCAATGCACTATAACCTAAGACTGTTCAGGATTCTTGGAGAGTAGAGAGCAGGTCATGTGAAACATTTGGTACAGATGACTTTTACTGACGTCATTACGTTCAATCGAAAGCTCCCTAATATCATGTGAGGCCCTCCATGTTCAATATCCAAGTCTCTTTATGAGGCTTGGGAGGTGAAAACCTGATCAATGCACTATGACCTTTAGAATTCTTCGAGGGTAGAGAGGTGCTGATGTGAAACCCTTTTGCTATTACTTACTTATTTCGAGCATGCTATTATTATCAGTTTTTTTATGAGGTGTGGGGAGTGGATATCATGTGAGACCCTTGATCTCTAAAACTAAATTGCTTTGCTGTTCTGTAAGTAAGTCTCTTTATTGGAAGAGATGGAGGGCTAATGCTTGGTACCTGATAGATTTTGATCATTTGATCAGACTTAGGAAGTAGAGAGCTATTAATTATGTGGGACTCTAAATAATCTAGTCTACCAGGAGGCTGGAAAAGATGAAAGCTGATCATTTGGAACCCCTTCGATGCTCTATAAGAAAGTTCCTTTATTTGGCTTGTTGGAGTGTAAAGTGCTGACCAATCACATTAACTGAGCCACAACGTTCTTCAACTTGAATTAGATTCTTTTCTTAGAATTAACCTTTTCGTCACTTGATTCTTTTGTAGGTTTTTTTAATTTCTAGTAATAAGAAGTATAGAAAGCAATCCCCCGAGGTCCTATAAATTGAGCACGGCATATTGGAAACAAAGATGATGACGTTAATGAGATGGGGGAAATCATGATGACTAAGCTAAAGTCCAGATGACACTCATACACTTCGCTGATTTCATCAGAATAAACTCATAAAATAATTTAATATATAAGGAATATTGGGGGGCTATAGAATATTCCAATATAAGATTGTCATCATCATCATCATTAATTGAAGCGTCATCATCATTGTCATCATCATCATAATCACATCATCATTGTCAACATAAAGTCCATAAAACCAATTTTAATGATTATAAATAATAATGTATTGCTGGCATTTATATACGCTTTACTGTTACGTATTTATTTATTTTTTTTTAATTAGTTTTTCCGAACCAAAAAATTCATTAAAAAAAAATTCACATATACTGTAAATTAGAAATCGAATAAATAAGTGTGTGGATGGAGACCAAAATAATTTATTATTATATTGTTAGAATTATTATATATTTATTGCACCAAACTTCTTTCTGGGTTTCCCCATATGTAGCCATGAGTAATTGTGCTGACAACTGTTGACGGGTGCAGTGCTTCTTTAGCATTAGTGGATAAAGGGAGCAACATTGTTTTTTTTTTTATTATGACAGAAATCCTAGCTTTGATTTGAACCTAGAATCCTGGGATTAGAATAAAAGCATGTTACCATTTAACCACAAATTTACTCATCATACACATGTCTTCTATAATCAGTGTTGTATTTGTGAGAGACTCTTTATGTTCTCTCCATGTTCCCTTCCTTGAAACAAAATGCCACATTCACAGCATATTAGATTTAGAGCTCTGCACGTAAGTCCTCTATTATGAATATTCATAAGTTGCTATGAATTTGAGGAATAATATTACATATAGCATTTAGCTGTATGCTAATTGACAATCTACAGTGTATATTTTGTAATGCAGGCATTAAGCATTAGAACTAGTGTACTAATCTTCTATCAAAATCTCTGTTAATACTCAAGTTTTATTTACCCATATTTGGATATGTCATATCACACCCATATATGGGCTTGCTTATTATACCCAAATATGGACAAATCGCAAAATTCTTCTTTGGAGCCTCCTAATTATATACAAATTAAAAGAAAAAAAAAACTTTTTATGAAAGTTCATACTCAAAGGAACTCTATATGATGAAAATCAGTCAAGAAATTTGTATGATTCAGATTAAATTTTATTATGAAATCATTATAAAACCATAAAAATTGACGTCCTTGTTACAAATATATAAGTATAATAAAAATATTAAAAGACCATCAAAAACATAAATTAAATAAACTATACAGTGATGTATTTTAACAATTCTTTGGGGTTTCTTTTTTCAGTTGATGGATGTTTTAGAACAAGGAATGCACCTTGATATGAAGGAACTGTTCCAACAAGTAGAGCTCGCCATGCAACAAGATCAGGATTAAATATAATCCAGACAGTAAATCTCAACGGATAATCCCATCCGGCATCAAAAAATTGGCAGCATCTAATATCGCATATATTCTTTTGATGTAAAATGTCTACGGTATATATTTCATTTATGGATTTGGTTTGTACATTTTTTTTTTTTTTTTTGCAATCCTATTGGACGTTATATACAGTATGGCGAATGTGGCTATTTTACAGGCTGACATACTTTTTTTTGAGCCCGCATTTTAATCTTGAATGCCTGTTAAACAAACTGCTTTTCATTAGCTTTGGTGTAGACACAGCCAGATTTATGTGTGTGTTGAGTATGCAGTCCAATGCACCCCTCAACTCAAATTCATGGTTCGTGTGTAGTGCTCCAATATTTGGCCAGTACATAAACACTACTTGTGAAATTGCGCATCAGAAAGGCTACCATGATAGTATCTATCAAAAGTTCAATAAATTGAAATTGAATTGAAGTTATGAAAAGTGTACCAATGTTCAGTTGATTTGTGAACATAACTTGCAAAGTTTCAAATTTGTTAAGGTATCACAATATGACAACATTTGTAATGAGATTCGTGAAAATCATTCCATTGCTGTACTGTAATTACGAGTTTAAAAATGTTGGTTACAACTTCGCAAATATGACCATTGGAGGTCAAGTGAAAAAGTAGTTCGTGGCCTGACATGGCATCTCAAGTTAAGGCCCCTTTAGAGGAATAATTACGATACCACAAGTTCTTGCTGATTATTGTACATCTACTCATGAAAGAGCCACTGAACAAATTATAGCCAATCGTATAAAAATACACAGCTTTTAGTGCCTTAGTTGAGAATTAAGTTGGTGTAAATATTAATCAATGTTTGATTGTTGATATATATTTGAATGAGAAAAATAATTATACAGTTCGTTTGAAGTGTACGTTTTTCAGCAATAGTATTATCAAATGTTATTTTCTAAAATCAGTGAAAAAATGTATAAAAAAAAATTATTTCCTTGTTGACCAAATGTTTTAGGAAACTACAATGAAAACGCATCACCTAATCAAGATTATTGGATTATATACTTTAATTTTCTATAAATGTGTTTGTTACGTAGTTAGTGCGCATATTTGACTATTCGTTTTCTGATATATTCAGCCCACCGGGAATCTTTACATCTTGTTGACAGTGCTGTCAATTCAAAATAACAACTGAATGAAAAAAAAATGTTCCACATTAATACAAACAACTTTTATCTCGCTCTCTGCCCTCTTCTCTCTCCCAATTATTCTAACTTAGTGATAGAAAAGAGTACTGTTTTTTTTTCTACAAAAATTATTTCATAAGATTATAAATGGCTTATACAATGAGAGTAATGATTGTTTTAAAGATTAAGTTGATATCAACTTCATATATTATATGAATAATGAAAACCATCATGAAAAAATAAAAAAGAAAAAAACAAAACTATCAGCAGGTTAATTTTTAATTAATTTAATTGCTATTCTGTGGTTTTCTCCATTACTTATTTATGCCTGACCTTGGAATAGGCCATCAACTGCAAATCTATATGAAATATGTTATTGGACCACTGTTTTCTTCTCTCCGTTGTATCGGTCTTTCTTCATTTCTAAAGCCCTGTATAAACTATCAAATTTTATTTGACAAAAACATGTGACATGCCTAAATATGGTCATGATGACATCACATCATGACCAAATATAGGCACATCATGACTATATATGGGCGCACACTAGTTTTTGATCGTGTGAACAGAGATTTAAACTGACTTCAAAAGAGGACCGTATGTGTGACTTAGAAAATGATCCCCTTGTCTCTGTTCATAATGAGGGATCCTCTTGGTCTGATCCAGATGGCTTCACAGATTCTATGGGTGTTGGCCCTAGTTAACTTCTATAGTAAACCTATTGTACCATCATTCTGAAGAAGGATATCATCCAGGATACTTGATAAATATGTAATATCTGTGTAAAGCGAATATACTTGGAAAATAAAACTGTTGTTGTTGTTATCTTGAATTTTAAAATTATAACATGCAGATTTTCTTTGCATATGTTGGTGGCAAATTAAGTTTTTTTTGTAGGAAAGTATGTAAATCAGCAAAAATTGAATTGTCTTGACTTAGTGGGAGTTGGTAACTTCTTTTATACATATTCTTTGTTTATTTGTGTTATATAAATACATTTAATATTATTATATCTTTATTATTTATTATTCTTATTTTATTTTTATTTTTTTTAATAATGTATAATACATTTAATCGAGCAATTTAATATTTTGATTAGGCCAAATAAAAAAAATTATTGTGTTGGCCACGCCCAACTGACCCACATTTTACTTATAAGGCTGGAATTGCCTTGGACTAGGATAGTGGCCAAGGCCTAGCCTATTTTGGGTCATGTTATGCGATGTGAATCCAAAATTGTTGTATTATTTGTGTATTTCTACTTTTTAAGCATTTTTGGTTTAAAAAAAAAAGTTTTCCTACCATCCTACCCATTTTTTGGATTTTCTCAAAAGGTGGCCAACACAATTTTTTTTTTTTTTTTTGGCCTTATATTATTTCATATTTTCCTACTGGCAGTATCTTGACTTTGAAATATACAATAAAATTGCCAAGAGAGACAAATCCAAACATTTACAACATACTTACAATAAATAAAAATAATTAGTTGTCCTATCAAGTGCCATTAAAATTTGTGTGTAAATTCTTGACATATTCATAAACCATAAGATTTAACCTCTTTTACCACTTACCCTGAAAATTAGCAAACATGAAATTCTTGAGCATTCAAACAAAATTCCTAACTATGCCATCGTAAAAATTGCATCTTAAAGAAATATATAAATGACTTATTTATGTCATATTTTCTCTGTGAAAACTGACTTTTTTTCTCTCTCCATTGGCAGCCATATTTTAGGAGTTTACTTTCTGATTGCAATAGCGTCCGAAACAAAATTGATAGAATGCAATGATGTCAAAAAGATTAAAGGATTTGTCATCTGTAAAACGATGATTGAGATAATGGCTCCGAAAATGTGTTTGCCAGACCAAGGCAGAACACATGAAAACGGTTCACTCCAAATAAACGGTTTATTTGTGTTGCTAAGGATTATGTTTATGAGTCAAAAAGGTACCACCAAGGCATTCACACTCCCTAGGTGGCTGTAAAAATGCATGGCTTTGAAACGGGAGAATGACAGGAATATTGGCAGATACATAGGGCAGCATTCAGCTTGGGTCTATTATCCGATTTCCAACGCTCGTCTAATTACTCATTATTCTTGTATATCTGTTTTGATGTGTTATAGTATTTCTCATGTCATAATATTAGCTTTGTATATTTCTTGATATGGGATACTTTGCTTAAGTGTACATTTCCAGCTTATATTTCACTAACTGTTAAAAAATATCCCATGATTTTCCTAATAACTGTAATTTTATCAATATGAAGATTTTGATATTTAAAAAAAAATGATATCAATACTTCGTATTGATATTTAAAAAAATATTGTTTAATTTGTTTCTAAATATTTATAGCATGACATAGTTCTAACATATGTTACTTAGCTATTTGCATAATTTTAATGTTCGATTAAAATGTATATTATGGTTTCTTTCTTATTTCTAATTTTTATACCATGATATTTCTATATTGGCCTACTTATACCTAATTTGCATAATAATACAATATTTACTTGTATCTATCTGCATCTGTAATGTTTTTTTCTTATATTTCTATTAACTCATTTTGAAAGCCCGTTATCATTTTCATAGATAGAATTTCCATAATGACCTTAAATTATTTTGCATATTGATCTGCCTCGGCACATGTGTTGCATCCAGTGTCTTAAAATGGTGTAATCATATGATGCAGCATTGTGCTGAACATTAAAGCCCCTCTCAAGGTAATTGCTTAAAAACAGCACTCTGCGATTCATGTGCTAATGCTTTTAAGCTGAAATAGCAAGCCACTGATTTTATTCCACCCATGTCTAATCTCTTTTCCACCATGATGACAAGTTTTTCACATTAGCCAAGCTAGACTGTCCTGTAGTTTCTGTTAATAGCATCTGACTAAGAAAATGTTTTTTTGATACTGTTATTAAACTAAATGTATGTTTCATCTCCCTAAAGATATACAAACAATGGATTCATGCTAGTGGTCTCATTATCAAACACCTGACCACCTATTGAATATTCAGTTAGATGATGAGCACCTATTGAATATTCAATTAGATGATGAATGCCTATTGAATATTCAATTAGGTGATAATGAATATTTATAAACTGAAGGATGTAAGATATACAGTATTTTATTTGATAGAAAAGCTTCCATTATTTATATTTAAAAATTTTATTTTTTGTGGAAAAATTGTATTGTTCCCATACTAGGATTTGAACCCAAGGATAGGAAGATAACCAACAATAATTATTTAGGATATAATGAATATTCATAAAGGAGTAAATTCAATCATGAATAATCATGAATGAATTTATTCAGCAAGTTTTAGAAACTGCTTCTTCAGGGACGTGATTGGAAAAGGGCTATTTTAACACCTGGATAAGCTGATACATCTGAGAAACATATTATTGTAATTACCTAGTTGTTAAGCACTGTTGTTGAGTCATAGTGTGCAAAATGACTGTTTATTTTTTCCCAAGTTTTTAGGATTTGTCTGGGACATTACAGTATTCAACGTTATTTTGACACCTTCAATCACATTATGTACTTGTGAATATTGCCACCTGTCATCTTATCACAAAACATTGATCATCTTGTCACATTGCACATGCTCGCAGCGTAACTAATTTCACATTCAAATATGAAATTATGCTTTTAAATATGATTGAAGCCATTTGCAAGTTAATGTAAGAAAATTATTCAGCCCAACCCCAGAGTTCCTTGTCTTCATGATTTTAAATTTATTCAAAAGAAAGAAAAAGTACAGTGAGGTTAACCATGGAGGTAAAAAATACTAACTCTATGGTTTGACTAGGGAAGTACTAAAAAGTACCTCATGGTTTATGGTCATACACCAGTATCCTGTAGTAAATGTTCAGTAGTGTCTAGGCAAACGATTTTTGATTAGAAGGTGCCTCTATATAAAAAAAATTGAAATAAACATAGGCACCATGTAGTTTGAAGCTCTGTCCAGATTATCAGATATTTATTTTACATAGTCATGATGTGCCTATATATAGTCATGATGTGCCTATATATAGTCATGATGTGCCTATATATTGTCATGATGTGATCATCAATGGCCATATTCAGGCGTGCCACATGTTTCTGTCAAATCAAATTTCATAGTCTGGACAGGGCTTTAACATTGGGTTTAGCAGAGGGAGGGATACTAAATTGATTGTAAAGCAGTCTGGACAGGGCTTTAGTATTGATTTAGCAGAGGGAGGGATACTAAATTGATTGTAAAGCAGTCTGGACAGGGCTTTAGAATTGGTTTAGCAGAGGGAGGAATAGTAAATTGATTGTAAAGCAGTCTGGACAGGTCTTTAGCATTTGATTTAGCAGAGGGAGGGATACTAAATTGATTGTAAAGCAGTCTGGACAGGACTTTAGAATTGGGTTTAGCAGAGGGAGGAATAGTAAATTTATTGTAAAGCAGTCCAGACAGGGCTTTAGAATTGGGTTTAGCAGAGGGAGGGATACTAAATTGATTGTAAAGCAGTTTTTATCTAAAGAATGCATGTTTTATTAAGTGTGGCTTTCCCCACTGCTTTTACAGGTGTGCCAATGTTTTTCAGTTTGAAAGGCCGAGAAACATTGTCACAACTGTCTTAAGTTATTTACCTGTGGGAACTGAATGTTAGGAGTCATGTTGAGTACGTAAGATACTTCTTAATTGGATTCTAGGTTATTAGCCTTGTTGTTAATGATCCGTTTAATTTGAAAATTAATCATTGGAACCCATCTACATTCAACCTAAATCTGAAACTTAATTTAATATCAACCATGTGAGAAATCTTTAAAGCATGTGTTTCTTACTTTAAAAAATACCAATACTGATCTCTCATCTACTGTCCTCTAATTACTTCATCGATTATATGAGGCTTAATCAGTGGCGGGTAATCCATATTTTTGTTAGAAGGGGGTGGGAGGTCACTCAGTTTGATAGGCTTAAGACAAATTTATTAGATTTCTGAGGGAGAAATCTGACAAGAATAAAGCTGTAAATGTGAAGAAATTACATTTTCAATGGATTGCCTACTCCGATAATATGAAAAGAAAAAAAAATTCCAACCACTGTTATTTGTGCCTAAGTGTAGGACTATTTATGAATGTTTTAACCACTTTTTGCAGATATAATGTAGATTTGGGGGGTTTTTTTTTAACTGATTCACACAAACATTTTTAAAATGAATGATTGTTTTTCTGTGAATTGGCCCACTGAGATCTTAAATGACCAACTCATAGTTTGGTAGGGAGAATGCCCCCTACTCCCACACTACTTCTTCCACACCACCTCTTCCCACTGGAACCTCTGCCACTGGGTTTAATACTGTTAGTTCTCACCATGTTTACAGGTGCACACTGCAATGGCATTGGAAAAAAAATTGAAAAATTATTTTCAATAATCCCTGAAACTAAACTGCTAACCTTTGTCTTTGAACTAAACATTGGCCATTGACTCTCCTAGAAGTTCATCAGCCTTTGGAAACAAAGATGTAAAATTTGATTGGGTTTTTTTTTTTTGACTGAGTGACAATAAAATGCAATGAAACGTTTTTGCATTTTCCGATTGTGTTGCCGCTTTACAGTTTATGAGCTCATTGACTGAATAGAATTTTGTTTTAAATCAACTGATGTTTTGACCCGACCTCTCCGGACCGTTTACCACTGGAACCATCTCCTGCATTCCCACCATGGAGAAATAAGTTCTTCCATGGTTCTACCGAAACAAATTTAGGCCTATTTTGCTGTCTTATGATGGCGACCAAAAACTAATTCTATCACAGCAGTTTTTAGAACAAGGTACAAATGAAAG